TTGTGGGGAGGGGGGTGGTCATTTGAGTTTTTCGTCATTCTTTCTTAACCCCACCCCACCTGTATATTATAAATAATTACTCTCTGCTATGCTTGTTGCTAATATTTCTTTCAAATTTACCATATTTCTCCTGACTTTTTTTTTTTTTTTGCAGTACGTGGGCCTCTCACCGTTGTGGCCTCTCCCGTTGTGGAGCACAGGCTCCAGACGCGCAGGCTCAGTGGCCATGGCTCACGGGCCCAGCCGCTCCGCGGCATGTGGGATCTTCTCGGACCGGGGCACGAACCCATGTCCCCTGCAGTGGCAGGCAGACTCTCAACCGCTGCGCCACCAGGGAAGCCCTCTCCTGACTTTTTGTGGTTTTTTACATCATTAAATAATCTGTAATAGTATCTATAATGGTGTCAGTCTTTAATTAATTATAATTAATTATAAAGTTAAATTATAAATTAATTATAAAGTTCTCTCCTACTCCTTGGTTGCATATAATCTCTTAGATTCTCTTCTAAAATGTTATTTTATTGTTCACTGAAATCTTCAGGCAATGTGGAACTTCCATTTGCATATTTTTTGTGATAGGGTCCAACTTTTTTTTTTTTCTAGAAGGGTAGCCATATATCAGCATTATTTATTAAGTAAATCAGTCATTTCCTACTGAATTGAAATGCTACCTTTATCATATGGTGATTTTTCACATATGCTGGGATATATTCTTGAGTCTATCTACTATTCTATTAGTTCTAGGCTATTTATTTGTTTACTCTTTGCCAGTACCATACTGATTTTTAATATAGTGGTTTTGCTGAATTTCTATTTTTTTCATACTTTTCTTAGCATTTCTTGGGCATTTACTTTTATATTCGCAACTTGACTTGTTTTAATCCAATGAAAAGTTGTTTGAGAGTTTATTGGAATTATACTAAATTCACATAATCATTTTGGATGATTTGACATTTTATGATATAATGTCTCCCTATCCAAGAACATGGTATGCCCTTCTATTTATTCAGATTTATTTCATGTTTTTCTATATATGTCCTTTATTTTCTTGCCAAATTTATTTTTTTAATATTTTATAATTTCTTTAATATTTTGTAATTTTATATCACTATTTTGAATGAAATACTTTGCCCACTTCCTTTTCTAGGTGTCTTTATTAGCATAGAGAAAAAAGGCTTTTTTGTTTTCAATTATTTATTGAATCCGGTCACTTACAGAAATTTTATTAATTCTTGTAAGTGTTACTGAAGCCTACTGGGTTTTCTGAGTATACTATTATATCATCAGCCAAAAAAACATAGTGTCATTTATCTCAATTTCTCTAGCACCAAGTTGTATCTAGTACTTAGCAAGCACTCCGTAAATGTTTTAGGAATGAATGAACCAATGAATTAATGGATGAACAAATGAAGTGGGCCAGAGACTATTCATATGGTGGATTAAGGTTCCTTCTATTGTAGCACCACTCCACTGTATTACAGATCTTCCTTTTGAATGCCACAGCCATTTCTTACCTAGAAACCACTTAAGTTTCCAAATCTACAAAAGGAGAAGATGAATAAACATGATGACCACAGAGAATATGTTCCTGAATAGTGAAGGATCTTCCTGAGTGAATTGTAGTGTGTGTTCCTTGAGTTCCTCTTTTCATTTGCGCTCAGAGAGACTGTAAAGGGAGGCTTTGTTATTCTGACCAGGAAAGCAGTAACAAGCTGTCCCTATACTTTAGAATAAGTTAGAAGGCTTAAGGAGGCAAACTAATGCTTTTATTGAGTGAGGGCAGGCAGTTAGTCAAATGTTCACTTGCAGGAGCACTTCAGTGAAAGGTCCAGAAGTACAGACAAAAAAATAAAGGCAGTTTGGGAAGCTTTCTAAATCTAGGAAGAGAGTCAAGGGAAAAAAGTGCACAGATGATGACAGAGAAAGCCAAAGAGTTGCCCATTTATGTATATGTGTTCGTGTACATTTTAGTGGTCATCCATATATTACCTCCATGGCTATGCCTCACAAATATCACATAACAGAATTGAAAGCATATGCTCACCTGTCTAACCTCTGTAAGTCAACTATACTTAAGGAGAGTCAAGCCACTAGGTCTATAATCTCAACCACAGCCATTCACCTTATGGTAGCGATTAGAGTTGTAGGTATAATTTATTACTGAGGGAATTAACCATTATCAATGTTGCAATCTTGATATTTCAACTCAACTAAGTGTCAATCTGCATCATAATAAATAATAAATAGGCCCCAAATGCTAGAAGCTTCTGATTTGATGTTATAAGAATATCACTTAATCCTGGAAGAGGTTTTCCAACAAACCACAGTAGCTCCCTGCTCTTTCACAAAATTAAAATATACATATACATGTATGAAGGCACATGAAAAATTTTCCACTGCAAGAAACACCTTTGCTTTCAAAGACAGAAATGATGATCACCAGGCTGGAGAGCAAAGTTCTCCCCATAAATTACCAGCAAGAACTCCAAGTACTAAGACAACGAGGAGAAAAGAGTATGTTCAAGCTGCAGAAATAAATACAAACACAGCTTACAAGACATGGTTACCAAAAGGGTGACCAAACTGTTCTTCAAGGGAAAACAAAATGTTTCTCTTAGAGAATCTAAAGGAAAATCCCTTGAGAGGCAGACAGAGTACCAACGTAGTAATTGGCTAACTAATCCCAAATACTGCATCTGAGCTAACAGCACAAAGCCAAATGAGGAGCATCAGCTTCTACACACACACACCAGGCTACTGGGGAGGTCTGATGCTTTGAAACATCTCTTCACATTTTTAGCTAATGAAAGGTTTATAAAGAAAATGTATCCCTCTACATAAGCCTAGCCCCATACACACACGAGTGCATTGGAGATGTGGCTCAGGTCTCCAATTTGCTTTGTGTAGCAGCTGGCACCCTGATGTTTGGCCTTTGCTCACAAGGCTAGTCCTGATGGAAGCGCTGTTGCCCTTCCTCTCTGAGAACCTGCATCCTTCTCATCTATTCTGTATCTGCCAGGCTTAGAATCACTTTCTTCCTGGGCCAGACCATGCTTCAATTCTTTTGATCACCATGACATAGAATTTGAAAACACTAAGAGACAGACCTCTCAAAATGGGTCATATGACCTTAATTCCCTATCAAAGGCAAGGCTAGGAAGAGTCCGGACATTACCTGTATTGCTGCCCGGCCTCTGCCCAGCAGTAAGAATGTTCAATCATACAAATGATCCTGAGTCTTTGAGCTGGGCTTCTTCACTCAGCAGTTAGGATAGGCAACAAAGGGTCTTCCCTACAGCCCAGAACAGGGCCCCTGAAGATGACCAAGAGAGTCACTCCAACAAACAGAAGGGGTGCTCTTTGCTTTCTCTGGGGCAGAACTGTGATTTCAGTTTAATGTAAGGCAATTAGAACATCCCTTTATCTGTAGACTGACCATTTCGACAATCCTGGTTTACATCTATTGTCCCTGAATAATTATTTATAGTGCACCTTTGCACTCTCGAGAAGTTCCACTGTGGAAAATGAATTATATTGTCAACCTACTTACTCAGGATTCTAAGACAAATACCTCCTTGATCCAGCCAAGGTAGCATGAGCACCAACAAGGACAAACAGTGTTCCTAGGTGACTTGAAAGAGCAGGTTGGGGACTTAGAAATGGTACTCATTCTTCTCTGGTGCAGATATCAACCCTATCTTTCTGTGAGGTTGCATATCACTGAAAAAAATTAATCTGGAGATCTCATCTATTCCCACTGAAAGAAAAATTTATTATAAGACAGTATCAGTCAGGGTCCCAACAGGAAACAGACAACCCACCTAAACTAGGACCATTCAAAGAGAGTATATTTATGACAATGTGGTTATAGGGGGACCGCAAAGGATAGTACGTAAGCCTAATGCTTCATGCTAACCAAGCTGTCATCATGATAGGCCCCAGGAAGAAGGGGAGGGAGAGCATCTTGCACAACTGGCTTCTTGAGCGAAGGAGAGACCCCTCAAGACACAGCTCAAGCCTCCCTTCTCTTATGAACCAATCCCACAAACCATCTGGCCCATGAAGATGCCACCCTGAAGGACAAACTGCACCACACATCCAGCTCTTACACATGCTGTGTTCTTACACACCCTTGCACAGTACGAATACGTCCTGTCTTTTCATCTAGACCATGAACTCTATGAAGGCAGAGACCACATCTCTTATCTCTGTATCACAGAGATCTGTATCACAAGCGTTGTAACACCAGTGGCTCTAAACCTTTTATTTTTCCAACATAGCACATAAAATCTATGACATTCATAGACAAGACATTCCCCACATGTATTCCCTGGGTTACACATAATTCTCACTGTGCTCCACCATTTCTCTCCCACTCAAGCTAGCAGAGCAAAATGAAGATGAGCGAGGTCAGGTCATTTTACAGATAGTCTTGAATCCACTCTGTCTTTTTATTCCAATGTAATATTTTTTCTTTTTTAATTAATTAATTTTTATTGAAGTATAGTTGATTTAACACTCTGACTTTTAATGTAAATTATATACAGGCTTTGATGATCTGATACTATTAAGTGATGTCTGGCAACACATCTCACAACTGCTCCTGCACACTGTGTCTTAACAGCACAAGTTCATAATGTGTTTGATGGTGAGAAGCAGGAAGGGGTCACCAAGTGGGTAGGAAGTGTGGAAGAAAAGGCTGTCTCCATCACTTCAAACACAGGTGCAGGACCATAGGAGAGACCCCAACCCTGGGATGCTATTGTTGGATCGAAGAAGAGATCCCACATTTACAAAACCAGAAGGGAGGAGCTAAAACGTGCCTTACACACTACCCACTCCACCCCTGAATTTCACAGATGAGGAAATTGGGTTATGAGGTATTCCTGTGATCACACAAGATACTAATCAAGGCATTATTGGAACCCTGAACTCAACTGAAGACAATTTAAGAAAAAACAACAACAAAACTCTTTTCTTGCCTGGGAATGAATGAATTCATTTGTCCTTACCGAATGCATATATTTACTGAGTGTCTGCCTTGTGCCAGGTAATGGGGATAACACAGTAAACAAAAAAAAAAGAAGGGCCTGCTCTCAAATGGGGGTAGCATTTTATCTAGGTCAGCGAAGACTTTCTGATAAAGCAATGTAGGAGCAGAGAGGTAAAGGGAGGGAGGGAGTCACATGGGTCCCTAGGGCAATAGTGTTCTAAGAAGCAGAGCAGTGTGTGCTTGGCATGTTCCAGGTGAGAAGCCATTGTGACTTGTCTGGAGGGGGAAGAAGGGACAAGGGACTAGAGATGAGATGAGAGATCGGGGTGGGAGTGGGGGTGGCCAGATCATGCAGGGTCTTGCATTTTACGGCCAATGAGATGGGAAGACACTGAGGAATTTTCAGCAGAACTGGAGTATAATCTATGTCTTTAAAATGTCAGTCTAGATAGTATGTGGGGAAGAGACTTGTCAGATCAAGGGGAGACGCAAGGAGGGAGCTAATGCAATGATCTAGGAAAGGGATGGGAGCAGTTTGGACTAGGGTGATAGACATGAGGTGATGAAAAGTAGTCAGATTCTGAACATATTGTTACAAGACTGCTGACAGAATGTGAGGATTGATTGAATGTGAAATGTGAGGGGAAGAAGGGAGTGACAGATGAGGTCCAAGTTTTTGGCCTGACTAACTGAAAGATTGAAGTGGACACTTACCAAGAAAGAAGAATGAGAGAAAGCAGGTTTGAAGAGGAAGGTCAAGAATCTTTCTGAACATGCTAGTTAGATCTGCCTTTTAGAAATCGAAGTGGGTCATCCAGCAGGCCAGTGGACACACAGGTGTGGAGTTCAGAAGAGAGGCTGGGGGGCATCTGCACAGAGGTGGCATACTGAGTCATCCGACAGCATGTGAGGGCAGACAGAGAAGAGCCCAGGACCGAGCCCAAGTTCAAGTACTAGGTTGCCCTTCCCAAACATCACATGTGCACTTTAACTGAAGACTTTCTGCAGACAGTGGCTCTTCTTTCTCCTTCACCATCAGCTGAAGGACAATTCCCTGGGAGAATGTCAATGAGCCTCTCCTTTCTACTTCAGGAAGCAGCACTCCCCTTTCAGCCTGCTTCCCACTCCAGCAGGAAGAATGGTGAAGGGACAAAGGAACCAGCCCAGAGAACAGGAGCACTGCCACTGTGGAATGGTGAGTACGAGAGAGAAGTGACACCTCCCAGACCTCTCCTAGACATCGATGACTAAGCCATCCCCAAACAGAATAGGCAATGAGAGAAGCAGAGGCAAACCAAGTCAGCAGGTGAGCAAACTTCTTGATAAGGGGCACATCCTGACAAGGGAGGGAGTCTGATCACAGCCCAGAGTGGTGATGGTCATGTCCTTCATGCTATAAGGGATGACTGGCTATAAGGGCCGAGAGTTACAGATACTGCAAGTTGAACCATTTTTGTTGCCAAGGACAGAGCAACAGCAGCAGGTCCTGACACTCAGCTGAGGCAGGGGCTTCAACTGGGCTCTGGGAAACCCCTTATGGGTTATTTAACTTCTCCAAGAATTGGCTTTCTCTCTACTATGAGTTGGAAATGGTTAAATGGAGCTCCTTTATGGAGAAAATTGTTCAGAAATAACTTATGAAGAATTAGCTTCTGAGTAAAAATAGCATCACCACATTAAGTTTTAGACAGTTAAAAATAGGTAAACTCCCATTGTGATGAACTCAAGGAACTTGCCAATTATTTTAACGAACTAAAATGGTGTAAAATTAACACATTGCTAGAAACCAGGTTCCAGGTTGAGGGATCTGGAGGAGAAAGAATGCCAACATCCGGCTTCTGTTAATAAATCCACAAGCAAAAGGGAATTGAACCCAGCAGGGGAAAGAAATATCAAGAATACACAAATACATATATTCCCCCTTTCTTTCACTGGATGCTGGGCCTTTGTTTTATGTGCTTTTTTTAAATTAATTCTTTGGAATATGATATGGCACCTAATTAGATGGCTAGTCTTTCTAGGTGGAGAATAAGAGTTACTGAAGAAAAATCACTTCTATTAGAACAAACCTGCTAGGAAAAGCTCAGCTATCCTGTCATCCACAAGGCAGGTAGCACACAATCAATTTCTCTTAGTGAAGAGAGAGAAACAAGGAGCAGTGTCACACAGAACTTGTGCTTGAACTTGAACATCAATCATTTATTTCTCTTATATGGGCAGTAACTCTATCAGATGATTATTGCACATGATTGACTGAAGACAGAGCAAGAAAGCACTGTTTGCAGAGTATAACAAAACAGCCATAAGTTATCATTCTGAAGTCAGAGAGAGAGATATGTCCATATCCTAGCTCTACAAATTTCTAGCTGTGTGACCTTGAGCAAGTTGCTTTACCTCTCTGTGTCTTGTTTCCCTCTTCCTTAAAATGAAGAAGTAGCACCTATCTCATAGGGTTATGAGAATTGAATATGATGATAAAATGTACAGTACTCAGTACATACCTGAAAGCAGCTATTAACTAATTATTATTAATTAGTAATATTAATTATTAATTAATTCATATAATAAATCATGCAAAATTTTTTACTGTCTAGAAAATTTTCTTATAATGATATTTATTGTGTTGGAATTTAACTGAGAAAGACATCAAGAGACATCTGAAATGCCAATGCAGCTACCCAGGGGTTCTCTGGTAAACTCAGATCCCTAACGGGCATTTATAAAAGAAGGAAAGAAGGATACAGAACCAGAGCAAGCTGTTTTTAGTAGCATAAACTGAGTGCTTGGCAATATAACATACAAAATGAATGAAGGTTTGCCTCATAGAAAAAAAGATCAGATTTGTGGCTATCAGGCGTGGGGGGGAGGGGCCACGGAGAGGGGATTGGATGAAGGTGGTCAAAAGGTATAAACTTCCAATTATAAGATAAATAAGTAACAGTGACAAAGACAAAAAAATTTTAATTATCTCTTTAAGGAAAAAGTATATGATATTGATGAAGTACTGTAAGACACCATCAGTATTCTAACTAAAACTTGCCACTTGAAATTTCAAAGATGAAATGATACTTAACAAAAAGCAAGAATTGGGAAAATCGCTTCAATGGCAGAATTTGGATTAATGTGTCTTCAACATCCTGCGGAGAGGGAGGCCCTTCTGGAGTAAAAAGGCACTGACAACATTGTTCACTTATCCACATTCCAGCAAGGATGGCTGGCTGGCTGCTGGAAAGGGATTGTACACAACAGGCCAAGGGATTAATATAGTATGATGCACATAGCCACGATGCGAGAATTTTTTGGTCAATGTTTAGCAAAATCATTATGTTGGAGAACCCATTTACTATTTTGTTATGAATTATACATTGATTAGGGTTGCCAGATTTAGAAAATAAAAATACAGGGCATCTGGACTTCCCTGGTGGTGCAGTGGTTAAGAATCCACCTGCCAATGCAGGGGACACGGGTTCGAGCCCTGGTCTGGGAAGATCCCATGGGCTGCGGAGCAACTAAGCCCGTGCACCACAACTACTGAGCCTGTGCTCTAGAGCCCGCAAGCCACAACTACTGAGCCCACATGCCACAACTACTGAAGCTCGTGAGCCTGGAGCCCGTGCTCCACAGCAAGAGAAGCCACCACAATGAGAAGCCCACACACCACAACGAAGAGTAGCCCCCGCTCAATGCAACTAGAGAAAGCCCACATGCAGCAATGAAGACCCAACACAGCCATAAATAAATAAATAAATATTTTAAAAAATACAGGGTATCCAGTTAAATTTAAATTTCAGATAATAATAATAATTTTTAGCATAAGTATGTTCCATGCAATATGTGGCTACCCATCACTAGGCCACCAGTAACTTGTCACTTAAGTAGGACCGGATGCAGGGAAGGAAGCAACTTCCTTCAGTTTTGGCAGACAGCACAAGTTCTGTGTGACACTGCTCCTTGTTTCTGAGGAAGGCATTCAGCATTGATCACTTCCACTGAACTAGTCCAGTGGTTTCTAAACACACACACGCACACACAAGAGTTATTTAGAAACAACTTTTGATGTGAAATCCTAACATGTTAAACAGATTTTTTTCTAAAAGGAGGGTAAGGACCTCTGGTTGAATGGAGAAGTTAGGGGTAGGATGGAGGAAGATGGACGGTCTAGATCTCTGCCCACTTACCATCATCTCTGCCCTCACAGCAGCCCCAAAGGATCTCCTTGGAACAAAGGGACTCTACAGAACAGATGTAGAACATCAATCATTTATTTCATCAGGCCCACCAAGTCTTACTTAAAACTGAATGGCCAGATCCACTTAATGTAAGCCTTACTTGTACATGTCCTTGTCTATGCCAGAGTTTCTTCTTACTGCAGACAATGTCATCAAACTCCCACAAGAGAGACACTGGAGTCCTATTTGACTCATCTCAGTCCTTCTTCTGCCATAACCATTCTGTTCCCACAGTCTGCTCTTTTTTACTTTGCAACAACTGTGCCTCTGTGACATGAAAGAAGCAGCTAAAAACAGAAAAACTCTCCCCAACAATTCATCTTATCCACATGGTAACAATTATCTAGGAATTGAAATAAACTTCCAGACGCTTTAAGTAAATTTTCTAGTCATCCTCTAGATACTTACTAACACAAAGACATAGCCAACACTCTCCACTCAGCCCTTCCTCTCAGAGTTGGTTTAGAAGAATGTTCTCATCGTGGGTACAAGAAACACTGCTGTCACACAGAAGTCTTTTCCCTCACCCATTGCTACAACTATCTGCAAGGCTGCCATGCCATCTCCTGCAGACCCACCTCCATTTGGTATGTGAGGAATGTACTTGAACACACTTTTCAGGTTTATTCAAATCCTTGTTATTCTTGCCCTCCATAATGTATTTTCAACATACTTCTCCCTGGCCCCTGTCTGGGAGTAATCATCCACTATGATTTTACCCCAAGCCATTCTCCACAAAAGACCTTATATTTTTGAAAGAAGCACCACAGAGCCATTCCCAGAGCACATGGAGAACATCCCTGACCAGCTTAAAAAGCCAACTTCAAACCAATGGACAGCTACTTTTCATTTAAGGATATATGTCCATTCAGTTTGCTCATTTAAAGTTATGTGCCTACAAAAAAGCTACTAAAACTAATTAGTGAATTTAGCAAAGTTATAAGATTCAAGATCAATACACAAAAATCAATTGTATTTCTATATACTAGCAACAGAGAATCACAAATTGAAAAATAATAGTACCGTTTGCAATACCATCCCAAAAAAGTAAAATAGGTAGGGATAACTCTGACAAAAGATTATGCAATACCTGTACTGAAAATGACAAAACAATGCTGAGACCAATTTTTAAGGACATAAATAAAACCATGTTCATGAATTAGAAAACTCAATAATGTTAAGATACTAATTTTCTGCAAATTGATCTAGATAGTCAATGCAACTCCAAGCAAATCCCAAAAAATCAGCATACTAATTTGAAAATTCATATGAAAATTCAAAGGACAGATAGCAAAAACAACTCTGACCAAAAAAGAACAAAGTTGGAGGACTAACAGCACCTAATCTCAAGACTTATTATAAAGCTACAGTAATCAAGACACATGGTATTGGTGGAAAGACAGACAAACAGATCAATGAAACAGAATAAAGAATTCAGAAATGGAATCATAAACATACCCATTTTTGAAAAAGGTGAAAAGGCAATTAGTGGAAAAAGGATAATCTTTTCAACAAACGGTGCTGAAACAACTGGATTGTCATATGCAAAGGAGAAGGAGGAGAAAAAGAAGGGGGAGAACTTTAATCCATATTTCTACACATGTAATAATTAATTCAGAATGGTTCATTGACCTAAAACTATATGAGACTAAACCTAAAACTATAAAACTTCTAGAAGAAAACATATGATAAAAGCTTTGTGATCTTGCATTAGACAAAATTTTCTTAGATAATAACACCAAAATCCATAATCCACAAAGGAAAAATAAATCAATATATTAGATTTCATCAAAATTAAAAACACACACTCGTCAAAAGACACTGCTAGGGTAATTAAAAGAGAAACCACAGAATGGAGAAAAGTACTGACAAATCAAATATTTGATAAAGGACTTGTAACCAGAATATATAAAAAACTCTTAAAATCAATAACAATAAAAGCAACTCAATAAAAAATGATCAAAAG